AGAACATGTGACTCACATGTCAGTGAGTCACCAAATCCATTCGACCCCATTTAATTTTAGCCAAGCTCAATAGATTGTAAGACGCTTAATAGATTTTTTTATATGGAAAAAAGAGTCCACTATGTTACATATTATTGTAAAAATAAGCGATAATATCCTAATGGCAGAGTGCAGATCGGGAACTCAAAGGCCGTAGGTTCGGAGCCGCCTCTCGACTACTGTTGTAAAACACTACTTATCCTAATATACGCCACACACGGTCGGTTGAACTGATCATTCCAACTGATCAGTTCAAAGTAAAATTGTTGATATTATTTAAAATAGTGGATTTTCGATATATCGTTCGATTATATATATTTCAATATCTGAGTTTTACATATAAGCTTATTTATGGATATATCGAAAATTTAATATTTTAAAAAATATCAACAGTTTTAGTTTGAACTGATCAGTTGGAATGATCAGTTGAACTGACCGAGTGTGGCCATCATAACACAAGCATTATATAGTTGTGTTATGGTGGCTATATTAGTAATGTTAATATTATTGATTGTATTTTTATACTTATATTGTAAAAATAATTTACATATTTAATTATTTCTTACATTTACGCGAATACATCACTTTGAACACAACTAATTCTACGGATTTTATCGCGTATATTTTAACCTTTTTGAATTCTCGACGATGCCTTACATATCGCTGAGCAGCGATAGCATAACGGTAGTGTGAAGCACCGACGCTCCAAGAAGTTTGCAGTATGTCATGTTCAGGATCGTTCCAACCAATATATCAGACTTAATGGAACACAAATCCTCGCAAAAGAACACTGATTCATACACCAGATAATTTGCGGTGCTATTGTAATTAAAAAAACATCTTAATTTCAATAAAGAAGATAGCTGGGTGCTACCGTCTACTTTGAATCCCATAATTAATAAAGTTAAATCCGAACCCAAGCATACTACTCCAAACCTTTACGATTAGCTCATTCTGCGTAGATCAGACTAAAAAAAAATTAAAATTTGAAGGTAAACGATCATTAACTATGGCACTGACACTTCAGTCTTCCCAACGGTCATAGATTCTCTAAACTGCCCGAACTTCCTGAATTTTTAAAAAAAATTAAACCCAATAAAAACTGTAAAATTAGTTATATTCTGTAATACATATAATATTTTCAATATTTCTTACATACAAATTGTTTTGGAAAAATAAAACAAAACCTACTGAACTATTATACATTATCTCTCGATGATCAACGCCCTTGTGTAAATTGATGATTTACACCTGATTGTAAATGGATGCCCTGGCCTATAGACATCTACATCTATCCACGATTGAGAATCAAAATATACACGCGTAACCACCCTTGAGGACTAAGATGAAATGCCTCGTATATTGGAGTAAAAAGGGTCTCCAGTTCTTTACACTCACCACATGAAACACAGCAGCATTGAGCTATTTTACGCTGGTAATATGAAAAGTTGTTGTACAGTAATTACCACAAAAACCGATTCTCTTCAGAGTTAGATAATCGCACTACAGGTGATAATGATAAAAGATATATATATACAATATATACATATACATATATATATGTGTGCTAATATAGGCATAATTTTATAAATAGGCAATAATGATTACAATCTCCTCTAATGCAAATATAACTAAACTATATTCTCGTAATAGACTGAACTCTAACTTAGTTATATATTATTATTTTGTATTAAATGATTTACAATAAATCCAAGCTTGATTGCCGCATAAAGTAAACAAATGTTTAAATGTAAATTTAAAGTGCTGATTTGACATTTTCTCGGTGGTAGGTCACCATTAAGAAATATGACATAAGAAATATGATATTGACATAAGTCCTCTTATACATGGAGAATTTTTACACGTGGTAGAACCATGCTGCAATTATAATAGTAGTATGTATAGTTGTAGCACGAATGGGTCGGCTCGACCGGGGAAGGACCACGCTCTCACAGAATACAAGCGTAAAATAGTAGCTTAATGCTGCTGTGTTTCGTATGGTGAGTGTAGAGAACTGGAGACCTTTTTTACTGGTAACGAGGCATTCCATCTTAGTCCTCACGGGTGACAACGCACCTGCATTCTAATTCGTAATCGAGCATAGATGTAGGTGTCTACGGGCCACAGCAACCACTTACCATCAGGTGGACTGTGTGCTCGTGTGTTACCCTATCCTATAAAAAACAATAAAAATCTATACCAATATGGGGCTTAAAAAATCATAGCAGTAAAAACTGTTTCATCTGTAAGAAGTCTTGTCAACTTGCCTTGTCAACATTTGCGATTCCATCGAAACGAGATTGATGAAGTTTATTTAATGGTTATTTCATTTTAATCTCCTAAGTAAAGAGCAAAATAAAGACGTGGTAGAATGATGCTGAAGATATATAGTGGTGGTAATACGAATAGAATAGAATCATTTTTATTCAATGTACTTACTAGTGCATTAAATAAAAGAGAGAGTAGGGTAGTGATTATATGTAATACTTATTGAAAGTCATTTTTTACTTTTATCACTTGTTCAGAAAAATAACCTCTGTACTGGGAATAATCAGCTAGAAATCCAACGAAACTTTTTTTTAAAAGTACAAATTACAATATATTTCATGCAATTGTTACGGAAACATTAAGATCAGCAGGGTAGCGACCACCTCATTCCCACGGATTATTATCAATCATGTACTCTTTAGTAGTATAATCCCCTTGTTAGACAAGCTTTTGTTTAATAAATATTTAAGCCTTTTGATAGATAAGGTCTGCACATTTTCTGGAATTCTATGTAGTAAAAGCGTATACATTGCCCCAAATGGAATTACTGACTCTTTGGAGTAACTGGTATAACTAACTTGTGCTTGTTCCTAGTATTTACAGAATGTAAAAGTAAAGTTACAGCCTATATACGTCCCACTGCTGGGCACAGGCCTCCCCTCATTTCTGAGAGGGTTTTAGGGCCAGGAAGTGTCCGTCGCGCTGCCCCAATGCGTGTTGGCGAATTTCATTCATGTCTTCGAAATATTTTTTTTTCTTATTCCTCGGACATCCATGTTTCCTAACGCTGTTTTCCTTCACCGCCGAGGACGTGGTAAATCAGCACTTAAAATAATTGCAATTAACAATTTCATTGTTGCCGGCGGGGATCGAACCCCGGTTACTCACGTTCTGTTATATTTACAGCGAGCGTTAACCATCTGAGTTACCACGGCTCTATTTACATTTACTGTTTTTAATAAAACTATTTTTTTTTTTGTATTCATACATTAAATTGTCGTAATAATAAATATATACTGGGAAGCGAAAATTAGTATATTTATTCCTTTAAATTTATCTCTAAGAGATTCTTTCGGACCTAGATTACAAATTGCTATTATGACTCTCTTCTGTAAAACCTATTCAAGATTCCATATGACATTATGCTAATAAAACTATATCATGATTATTCATTAAGGGCTGAGAATCGAGCCCTGAGGAACACCCATAGATACTACCGATACGGAGGAACTGCTCCTGGATGGTAATTAATAAGGGACCTCTCGAATTCCGAATCCCGAATGGTTCAGCTATCACTAAGGGACCACGTTCTCACAGAATACCGACTCAATGTTACTGTGTTTCATATGGTGGGTGTATAGAATTGGAGACCCCGTTTAACTTGAGATGAGGCTTTCCGTCTTAGTCCTCAGGGCAACGCATCTGCACTTTCATTCTTTATCGAGGATAGACGTAAATATCTATGGGCCACACTTGTTCTACACAAAAACCGTGATGCGAAAAAGAAATATTCTCACAAAATGGACGTTTCTGTAATAATTAAACGCTTTCAAACGACTCGTTTATGCAAATATACGTACGATATATTCTAAAGCAATGATGCTGCGATTCCTCGACAAGCGCTCACTTAGCTTAGGCGGTCCCATTTTTGGAAGTCCTGTATGCTTTGAATTCCAATAAAAATTAAAATTTAATTTAAATTAAAATTCAAATGAAAATTCAAAAGCGACAATAGCCTAAAGGCAGGGCGCGGATCGCGAACTCAAAAGGTCGTTGGTTGAAATCCGCCATTTGACTACTGTCGTGAACCACTCCTAACACAAGCATTTCAAGCTTACCAGGAGTGGTTAAAAGGAATATTAGTAATGTTAATTAATAAGATTACTAAAAACTCGCTCAAACTCAAAGTCTCAAAGTCGTCAAAAAAAAAGTACTCAAAGTCGCTCAGCGAGCTATGGAGAGGGCTATGCTCGGAGTTTCTCTGCGTGATAGACTCAGAAATGAGGATATCCGAAGTAGAACCAGAGTGACCGACATAGCCAAACGGATTAGTAAGCTGAAGTGGCAATGGACCGGCCATATAGCTCGAAGAACCGATAACCGATGGGGAAGAAAGGTTCTCGAGTGGCAGCCTCGTACCGGTAGGCGTAGTGTAGGGCGACCCCCCACTAGATGGAGTGACGACCTGGTAAGACATGCAGGAAGTCGATGGATGCAGGTGGCTCAGGACCGTGCTTTGTGGCGTTACTTGGGGGAGGCCTATGTTCAGCAGTGGACTTGTGAAGGGCTGTAATGATGATGATGATGATGAAGATTACTAATATTTCTATATAAAAAAATTAAGTTTATAAAGAATAACCTATCATTTCATTTACTTCATTCATCACAGGTCATCACAAGCCCTCTTCTGAATATAGAACTTCCCCTTAAATTGTAGGTAATTTCTACTGTAACAGGTGGTAGGTGGGTTATTAGGAAGATCCACTGTCCATCTCCTGTTTGAATTTCTCGCTGTCTCCTCCCAACACTCATGGCATGATATGGGGTAGTGAATTCTGTTACGCCGCCAACACATGGCAATAATAATTTATTATAAAGATAAATGAAAATCCTATTTTTATGTCTATTACAATTTCATTAGCACAGGTAACCTTCATAAGTTACCATCATTCTAAAAGTATCTAATTTTACAGAATCCTTGTTCGAGCTATTAGCTACACCGTTCATGGCTTGATCCCTGCATCGTGTGTATTTGCTGATCGTTACAACCGTGAGGAAGTTGTCCGTTCATTGGGGAAAGAAGTCAATATCAACCCGCCACTTATGCTGGGGCAGCTGCCAGATACACCTGAAGAACTTCTTAAACTTGATCAGGTAAGAAAAAGAGAAACTTGTTTTAAAAAGATCGATGTTAAAAATTCATACCAAAAAATACGTCTAAGACAGGGTTACGCTAAATACATTTAAATGTATAAATATTTCAATTACTCCATTATCACTTTACAACATTATCAAGAAAATAACAAAGTTTTAAAACTCTCCCCTCAAAACCGTAAATTTAGGTCGATTTGATTTTAAAGCTTGAATATTTAATTTTGATCGCTGTGTAAGTATCTAGCAAGCCTAAGATGGAGAAGAAACTTCGAGGAGGAAACTCCTTGTTTTATGTCATTTAACAATCGATCGGAAAAATACTCGGGATATCAGGGAAATTGGCTGTAAAACTTTCTCTTTTCGCTGCGATTGTTTTTTCAGTTCCCTATTTCAAATAAATTATGCCGCCGCCGCTCACAGCCGTGAAACATTAATGAGCCCCGTTAGTCGTGAGGCAGGTGGGGTGATCCCACTCCATTTCTCCTCACCCCGACGATCCTTCTCCTCTCAAAGCTTGCAACTAATCACGGTAATGAACTAATGACAAGTTAGATGCGAAACTACTCTCAAGACGACCGAGAACTTAGTACTTACCAACAAATAGCATCTCTATGTGAATACTAAAGTTACCCGTATTACTACTTCCCTTGCATTATTTATGACATGCAACTGAAAACATTGCGAGTTTACACTTTTTTTTATAGGATAGGATGACAAACGATCTCACAGTCCACCTGATGGTAAGTGGTTGCTGTGGCCCATAGACATCTACATCTATTCTCGATTACGAATTAAAATGCAGATGCGTTTTCATCCGTGAGGACTTAGGTGGAATGCCTCGTTTCCCGTAAAAAGGGTCTCCGGTTCTCTACACTCACCATACGAAACCCAGCAGCATTAAGCTATTATTTGACGCTGGTATTCTGTGAGAGCGTGGTCCTTCCCCGGTCGAGCCGACCCATTCGTGCTACAACTATACTACCAATATAACTGCAGCATGACTACCACGTAAAAAAGTTTATATACTTATCTAATATTATCCTATATGTTGATTTATGTATCTGAGATACTCTCGACAAAGCTTATTACAATCTTTTTCAATGTAAATCAAATGCCTATGTTTATTCAACGCCTTTAACTTAAGATAATTTAAGTTTGTTTTACATAAATGGTTCCGCTTGAATTTTTTTAATTTCGAGTTGTGTTAAAATAATTAATTTTCCATTTTACTCATGAACAGCGCGTGTTTTAATAAACGTAATATACTTAACCGAAAATGTTTCTCTCAACTTCGCTTTAGCCCAGCAAATTATTGTTATAACCAAAACGTACCAGATACCTCAATTATAAGATTTATTTTTCCAGGGCAATAAAGGTTAGAGCCAAGTTTGTTCGATCCAGTGAACTGCCAATCTTTATTAGGTAACATCGGAGATACGGATTATAAGTTAGAACTTTGTTCAGCGTACCGTCTGCCCTTTGCATTTTGTATCCACTCAAAGTGTGGCAGCTTACGTGCGTGATTTTATTATATTTGTATTGAAGATTTCTTATATTTACGCGACCACAACACATGATTAAAACTACTTTTACGGATTTTATCGCGTTTATTTTTGCCAAGCATACCAAGCATACCACTGCAAGACCTCAAGACATAGTCAGTTCATTTTGCATAGATCGGACCATAAACAATAATTAAAAAAGCTGAAGGTACTCCGGGTTTAACAATGACATCGGGACGTCAGTCATCTCAGTCCCCCGTGACCATGGGTGCTGGAAAGCCCCCGAAACGTCGGGAATTAAAAATAAAAGTAATTAAAAGCAAAAAATAAACGCGATAAAATCCGTAAAAGTAGTTTTAATCATTTGTATTGAATTTAAAAACCTTTTATTGGTCGAATACGGGATGCTTGCATACTGTCAATTTCACGGCCAGCGCTTAGCCCCTGAGCTAGGTACCAATATCCATCGATCCATTCATCTTTTGCAGCCCATGTCCATAAAAGCCCACTGCTGGACACAGTTCTGCCCCTCATAGAGGAGGGGATATAGCCATTGTTACAACGCTCGGAAGGCGAGCTGGCAAACGCAGTTTTTTTATTATGTTGAGTTGTTATTAGGATGATGATGTTAATAAATTATATTGTTAGTCCCTTATATCCCGTGCCAATATACTTGGAAGTTCTTAAATAGCGAAATCAATAATGCAAATGCAGAGCTACCTCGTTTAAAATATCATCATTAAGAATTTACACAGAATATCTGGCGCGAAATCTATCTAAATGTACTGAAAAAAAAGTTAACAAATTAATCATCATAAAAAATACAAATTATATTTAACTTAGTACTGCATATCATATTTTACTAAATTTTAAATGATCAATAATAAATCAAACACAAGGCGCAGAGTAGTTAGCCTCTCAGTATTCTTTAGGATAAACACTGGACAGTGTGCGTAGGTATTAGATTTAATTTCCTCCTCCCCTTTCCACCATCAGTCAACTAGAGAGTCGGCGGGTCCTACCTCTTTATTGTCCATATACCACACATCATCATCATCATCATCACAGCCCTTCACAAGTCCACTGCTGAACATAGGCCTCCCCCAAGTAATGCCACAAATCACGGTCCTGAGCCACCTGCATCCATCGACTTCCTGCATATCTTACCAGGTCGTCACTCCACCTAGTGGGGGGTCGCCCTACACTACGCCTACCGGTACGAGGCTGCCACTCGAGAACCTTTCTTCCCCATCGGTTATCGGTTCTTCGAGCTATATGGCTGGCCCATTGCCACTTCAGCTTACTAATCCGTTGTGCTATGTCGGTCACTCTGGTTCTACTGCGGATATCCTCATTTCTGAGTCTATCACGCAGAGAAACTCAGAGCATAGCCCTCTCCATAGCTCGCTGAGCGACCTACCATATACCACACATTCGATCAAAATGTTTTGCTTCATCTTTCGTAAGACGCTGTGCGCAGCAAAGAACTGAAATAATTTGGTAGCGTCTGTCTTTACCTCCGAGTACAATCTGTCAATTCAAGCTGTCTTTAAGCTATGTTGGCGCAATTTTTTTCAACAAACCATTTGGGGTTTATCGCCGCTTGCTACATTACAGGATTGTAGTCAAGCGCTGCCTTAAAATATGCATTAAAATAAGTATGAAAACTAATTTGCTACTATCCGCATGTAAATAGTAATTACAAAAAACATTTAAGTATTTTTAATTCGCTCACATTCCAAAAAGGATATCTTAACGAGTCATCGAGACTACTCTTAAAAGTTTCCCTATGCTGTTTTCCATTTACTTTGTGTAAGCCTTCTTTCATTTCTATATTTCTATCTAAACTTTAATATTATTTTTATAAACTTTCTTTATAGTATGTATGTATTTTAATAATAAAACCTCGTTTCTTTTGTATCGCATTTGCAATGACTAATCTTTACTTCTGACTTTAGTTATGTAATAGTAACCTAATCGAGTTTTAAAACGATTCCTCGTTAAATATCTTTGCCGTTTTTTTTACAGGATCTTAACGTTAGCCGTGTTCTTGCTTCTTACATTTAATTTAAATGTTAACAATACTTATTATACATCAGGAACTCTACTGTACTATACAGTAGAGTGACAGACGATGTATTTAATTTTATGAAAGTACGGAGTTTATAATATTTTAATCTTTATTTTCAGAAATCAGCCATTTGGTAATGACTGATCCGATTTCAATGATTCTTATTTTTATAAACAGTTTATATATACTTCAGGGGTAGTCTCATATTAATTTATTAATTTAAGGAAAAAAATTCACCCCGAAGGTGGAAAATAGAAGACGAAATTTTATTTCGATATTCTTCAATCCATCCAAATGAGTAATATAATTAAAACTTTAAAAACAATTAAAAATGAAAAGAAAATAATTTACACATAACAGCTTCAGTAGTCTGTTCTTAAAATCCATTTCATAGAACGTAAGGTACCTGCAACCTACCTCAGACAAAGAAGGCTAGAGATGCGTTTTCACAACTGAAAATTAAGATGGAATAGAAGATGAAATTTTATTTCGATATTCTTCAATCCATCCAAATGAGTAATATAATTAAAACTTTAAAAACAATTAAAAATAAAAAGAAAATAATTTACACATAACAGCTTCAGTAGTCTGTTCTTAAAATCCATTTCATAGAACGTAAGGTACCTGCAACCTCAGACAAAGAAGGCTAGAGATGCGTTTTCACAACTGAAAATTAAGATGGAATGTCTCACAGCCCGTAATTATTGTGGTTATCTCTACACTTCAGATCGTAAAACACTGCAGTTCGTTCTATTTTTACTAATTGTTTATTCGCAATATCACACACATGCATACTTTTCTTAGAAAACGTATGTATTTAAAAAACTTTTCACTATTATTATATACTTTGCCTGTGGTTCCTTATTATGGCATTCAATAAATTTCTAAGGTATTACTTACTGACTTTACCTAAAATAAATTTTGATAGTTCTCAAACTTCGCTAAAATATTTAATAAACTGGTATTGTGTCGCGTTATGACAAATGTTTAATTTCTTCGACATATGTCTATGAAATAGGAAAATTTACATACTTTGCTCTATTTCCTTACAAAACAATTTTTACTTAAGATTCTTACCCTAATTGAAACCCAAATAGCTAAAATATAAAGTCACAATTTTCTTTGTTCAATTCGGTAGGTAACATTGTAATGAAATCGATTTGCAAACACTAGTGTTACATTAAAGATCTTTACTCTGATGGGTAAACAAAAAACATCAAAATAATAATTCACGTCTATCTAATATTGTGAAAACATTTTGCTTGTAAGATGAATGATGTGTTTAAGCAATAATGTTCGCAAATATTAGAGTTAAGTAAATTCGATATTGGTGCATATAACTTTTATATATAATTTTCATAAGATAAACATTATTATAATCTGTTTTATAGCTTCCATCGCCATTTTTTTTAAATATTCCGTATCAA